TTGTGTGAACTGTACAAGATTTTGGAGAGCTCTAATGAATAAGGAGAGTAGGTGGGAGAGGTGGCCATTGATCTTCCGCCCCTTCTTCAAGACCACAAAAGATGACCTGTTCTAGGAGTGACACAGAAAAGACTGCCTTTTGCAAGTGTAGGGCTAGGATCTCAACCCTCCAGCCCATTGTTGGAGAGTTTTGCTCTCTAACCAGGGGCATAAGCATGAGCCATTTCACAACTACATTTCTAGGGGCATCATGGTAATCCATGAATAAGGTCCGCTTCTTTGTTTGTTTGTTTGTTTTTTAAATGAATCTTCGCCAAAGAAAGGAGTCTAATAGTAATGAGAGGTTATGTAAAGAAAAACAACTTTGATGACCAACCAAGATTCCAGAGGAATCTCAGCTCCTCTGGCTTCCAATGAAGAAGCACACTACATGCTTCCCATGCTTTTCAAGGTAGAAAGAGACATGCATTTTCAAACGTGGCCAATATGGGAATTCGTTTTGTTTGACTATGCATGTATATCTGTGGGAAGTGAAGGAAGGAAGTGAAAAGGGAAGGCAAGGAAGTCATTGAAACATTTTTTTAAAAGCACAGGAGAGAACATGAGGAAGTCCAGAAAGAAATAGACAAAGTGGAGAGCTTTGAAAGCTGCATGTTGAATTTATTTTATATGTAAAAGAAAAAGCAGCTTGCATGTGATGGAGATTTGTGGTTTCATGTACATCCAAATATGAGAAATAGCCTGCACTAAAGAAAGGAGATGGAATGTTGTATGGGGAACAGCAAGTAAGCAAATATGTCAGGCCCACAGTGGGTGAAAAGGAATAATATAGAATCAATCTGGGAAGATGGGTTGGAATTAGATTGTGAAGAGTTTTCAATGCCATTATGTGTGTTTTATATTTTATCTTATAGACGACAGAAAGCCACTGAAGCTCCCTGATCAGGACAGTGACATGGTTGGACTTGGGCTTTAGGAATTATAATTTGACAGTTGTATGGAAGACAAGGTAGAAAGCTTGGTTGCTGTGACCGTTGTCTGAGGAAGAGATGATGAAGATGTCGACTAGGGTGGTGGTGTGCAAATGGAGAAAAAAGAATGAATCTGAGATATATTATTCAATGAATAAATAGCATTTAAGTGCTTAATATATGCCTGACACCATACTAGGATCTATGGATACAAATACAAAAATGAAACTGTTGTTGGCCTTAAGGAGATTCCATTGTAGTGGGATGAGATAACACATATAGAGGATTAGTGGCCAGGAAAGGAAGTTTTGATCTGGGGAGTCATGGAGATTATCAATGGAGCCATAGGAGAGTTGATTATCATACCCTTTCTAGTAACATTGATTTGATTATGTTCCAACAACAGGATAGGGAAAGGGGGCATGAGGTGGTAATATATACTATGGCAAATCACATGACAAGATGCCCATGCCAGGTAGGCCCTGGTTTCCTGGTGAATGACTGGATGAGATGGGATGCACATTTTTGAACTACCTGGATACAGGTAATTGAGTGAGTGTTCATTCACCCACCAATTAGGATAGCTCAGCCCCAGTGACATAGTTGAATGGATTATCTCTCCCAGGTTGGGAGTCTTAGTCTTTAGAGGTCAATATCCAGAGGGTCTCTATTCCTGGTAGGACAAAGGAGGAGAATTGTAAGGTAGATAACCTTACAACCAATTTGAGTAGGCAATGGCTTCCTTGGTGGTTCACTGGATAGGATGTGAAGATAGATTTAGTAACTGACTACATTTGGATAAAAGAGGGTGAAGAGTATAGGACCACTTGGAAGTTTTGAACCTAAGTGATTGGGAAGTTCATGGTACCCTAATAAAATAGAAAAGTTAATAAAAGGGGTGGTTTGGGGCTGAATAATAAGTTTTGTTTGGGAATGTGTTAAGCTTGAGATGTTTGGGAATCATCTGGGTAGAGAGGATAGTTGAATCCATGGGAGTTGACATTGCCATATTTCATAAATATCTCTTACATTGAATTTAACTTAATTAATATTGCTTCACTCTCTTGGGGTTTAATTTCCTCTTAACCATCTTAGTCCTTCCTAGCAAACAGTTGGTTGGAGCTCAGGAGAGAGTTGAGAACTGGATATATAGACTTGGGTGTCGTTTGCATAGAAGGGTTAATTTACCCATGGGACCATTTTCTTTATCACTGTAAGCCTAGAATAAAAAAAAAATAATTACTCAAGCCCTGATTTGTAGCATTTGCCAATTTCTGAACTGTAAATGCTCACACTGAAAATTTAACAATTGGCTCTTTTAAGCCCTTTAAAGCTGACTCCAGCACACACTCCTAACTGTAGCTAAAATATTCATATGAAACAAACACAAGGGTCTTTTCCCATTGTTGATGATAGTATTCATGAATCATAATGACAAATAACATAGATAGTATTTTCTATATTTTGACTTTTTACTTTATTTCTATCATTCTGCTACTTAAACTATCTCAACTATCTTTACTGGTACTAGTTTTAGCAGTTCCAGTAGACTTTTTTCTTCAAACTGGTTATATATATATATATATATATATATATATATATATATATATATATAAATTAGGGACAATAAATTTAGGCAATTTAAACGTAATTGTTGAAAATTTCAACCAATTATGTATAATCATTCTGATTGTTTCAGTTTTTAATGTAGCAATTTTAAAAACAGTTTCTTGTATTGTATTTACCAAATTTAACAATATTGAGAAATATAGTGGATAGTATGCTTTCAATTTCCATACAAAGATTATTTTGCTTTTTTATCCACGTCGAATTCAAATTCAACAACTAGCACAACACCACAATTTATCTGTGTCATGAGCCTATGTTAACTGATGATAACTGACAGATTGTACTCCTGTTAATTTTGAAGGAATAGTTCAAATTTGACCCTTTTCCTTCATAATATATTAAATAAATAGTCAGACTTATTGATGATTAGAATGAATTTATCACGGTGTCTCATTTTCGTTGACTTTGATTTAAACTTTGTTTCATTGAAGAAAGTGAGTATATTTGCACAGGAGTTGTAGTTGAAAATAGCCAATGATTTTGGTTGTTGATTCACACAAATCCCTTTCAAGACAGTTATGTGCCCCACCTTCAGTAGAGTGTTTGGAAAATTCTAGGGTGTGTTTTGCTACCTGCGCCAATGAAAATGTGGATATTAGAGATCAAATAAGACTTGGAATCAACTTTCAATGTTGTTTAGCTCCAATAGTTTGCCTTTTCTTCTCTTTTTTCCTTCTGCCTTCGCTGTAATCCATTCTTCCATTCCCCACCTTCCTGACATTGGTTTTAATTTCTTTCCACTTCCTTAGAAGTTTTTTTTTTTTTTATTACTTCTGGATTACCTTTCCTATACTGTCAAAAAAAATCTTCATTTTAACAGTATACTGAAGGGGGATCAATTACGGGAATAAGAAAGTGATTGAGAGGATATTATCATCTTTCCTGGGTAGAAGCCACATAATGTCAATATAAAATAAAAGCCTAGTTAACAAAATCTGTGGCCATTAGGATAGTCCCCAGACTCTTTTCTGTCACCCACAGATACAGAGATCAGTATGCCCTGACCTAGGGATCCCTATTTTCATAGGAACCCAAGGTCTAAATGAGTCAATTGTCCCTTATACTGGAGCCCAAGATTCTAATCCAAAGAGAGATATATAACCTCATGTGAAGGGCAAATTGAAGAAGGATTCTCAAACATTATCAAGTGAAACTCCAAGGGGCACAAAGTCCTGTACATTTACACTAGTAGTAGAATAGTGAGGCCCATATTCTGTAATAATCATTCCAAGAGGCCAGGAAAGTGAGATGATCAGGTTTTTAATATTGCTTAACTCCTCAACACTAGAAGTTACAGCTCCAAGTTGATTACTTCTGCCTGGAATGGCAGTGGACACGTTTCCTATTTTTAAGACTGACATTTTGAGAACTTTTATTATTATCCATTATTAAATAATGTTAATACTTATAATTACTAAAATATTTGGCTTTTACTTGCATGAACTGATGCTGAGTGAAGTGAGCAGGACCAGGGAAAATGTTGTATACAGTAACAGTAACATTGTGCAATGATCAACTTTGATAAACTTAGCTCTTCTCAGCAATGCAATGATCTAAGACAATTCCAAAAGACTTGTAATGGAAAATGCTGTCCACATCCAGAGAAGGAACTATGGAGTCTGAATGCAGGTCAAAGCATACTATTTTTCCTCTTTTTGTTTTTGTCTTTCTCATGGTTTTTCCCTTTGGTTTTAATTCTTCTTTACAACATGACTAATGTGGAAATATGTTTAATATGATTGTACATGTATGGCCATATCAGATTGCATGCCATCTTGGGAAGGGGGAAGGAGAAGGAGGGGGAGAAAATTTAAAACGCAAAATCTTATAAAACGGAATGTTGAAAACTAAAGATAAGTAAATAAATTAAATATTTGGCTCTCACACGACTTTTAAAAGTTTGTAAATCACTTTAGATGTTACTTCTTCAGATTCTTAAAACTTTTTTGTGAAGTAGAAAGGACAGGTTTTATTATCCCTTTACAGATGAGGAAACTGAAACTTGGAGAGATTCAATGATTAGCCTGTAATCACACAACTCCACCTGACACCATTCATACTGTACCTTAATTTATTGGTGGACATGACCCCATTTGGACAATTGCAGAGTGGATCGATTATATGATTCCATGACTGTTTTTCCGGAGCCCCAAAACATCTTCTTGGCAGTGTGAAGAGGCTACCACATTCTGCTGGTCCCATTGATTAAATGAGACTCCCTGAAGGGGAGCCTGGAGCAGCTTTTGAAGACAATAATGGTCATAAATTAGCAGAAAAGAGTAGGGGGGTAATGGAGTTATCAATTAGCAATTTTAGTTGATATAAGGAAAGAAACGTTCTTAGAAATAATCAATCTGGAGTCAAGTCCAGTTCACTTTTTTTTTCCTCTTTTTATTCCAGAAAACTAAAGACCTATGCACAGAGTCTGTGAGGATTGCCATTGATGTTGGGTACCGCCATTTTGATTGTGCCCTCATTTATAATAATGAACATGAAGTGGGAAAAGCAATCCAAGAGAAAATTGCTAAAGGAAAAGTGAAACGAGAAGACATCTTCTACTGTGGCAAAGTAAGAACTTATTCTGTCACTCTTCCTTCTATAATAATAGGATAGGGCAGGGCTAAGAAAATTTAGGAAATAGCTGCTATCAACAATTGCATGTTATTGAAAACAATCTGTGTAAGGCACTAATGCTAAACCATTGCAAGAAATCTAGACCATTATTTGGGCTATCACAGACCCAAAGAAGGAATCCCAGCCCCATTGAGAGGGAAAATGAGTCATAATTTTCCCACAATGTCAATAGAGAAAAGGGATGAGAAAAATAGACGGCCTCTATTTTCCTCAGTCAAGTAGTAGGCTCAGTCATCTGCTTATGTGGTAGGGGAAAAGTGGTGTAGGAGATTTGAAGGAAGAAGGGAGGCTTAGAACAGTGGTATTAAGCTGAAATAGAAATTGATTCCATAGAAAACCACAAATTAACATTTTCTATGTTGCATTGTATTTTTATTTATTTTGTTAAACATTTCCCAATTACATTTCAATCTGGTTCAAGCCCACTGGCCTCAATGTCTCAAGTCTGACACCTGTGGTTTAGAATACTCCAATTGGTGTTTTACATTTATTTCCTGTTAAATTTCATCTTTTGGTGTTAGAGCTGTAATCTCTCAAGATCTTTTTGAATAGGAGTTCTGTCATTCACTATAATAGTTATCCTTCTCCGCTTTGTGACATTTGCCTATCTGATAAACACGTCATGCATGGCTTACCAAAACATGACCTTCAACTGGAGTGCATGAAAACACCACCTGGGCTCCAAAGTCTTTCCATTTTCAACTCCAGACAGCAAAACCACTAGATACATATCAAGAGTATGGCTTCTTCTGATTTATAGCTTTTGTTTCCAAAAGAATCAGTAGATGTGAGCAGAGATCACTAGGTTTAATGTATTTTGACAGGTTCTCCAAAATATTTTTGATAAAACTTCCATAAAGATAGCCCACCTATCAATCCACAATTTGAGATCTACGTGTGGCAGATAGCCACTTGTACCAGTTGTCTCTGATGATTACCTCCTCTTTCTAGGTACTAGGTGGCACAGTACATAAAGTATAGGACCTGGTGTCAGGAAGATCTGAGTTCAAATCTGCTTTCAGACACTTATTAGCTGTAATTCTTGGGCAACTCACTTAGCCTCTGTCTACCTCAGTTCCCTCAACTATAAAATGGGGATAAAAATAGCATCTAGTTCCCAGGGTTGTTGTGAGGATCAAATGCCACAATATTTGTAAAGGGTTTAGCATAGTGCCTGACACATAGTAGGCACTTAATAAATGTTTGTTCCCTTCTCTTCTCCACATACCTTTGCCTCCATACTTCTTAGCATGATGGTATCTTCCTCTGCATTTTGCAATAAATCTCCAAGAGCATATCCATGTTTTAGTCTTCCTCATTTTTTCATCAAGCATGAGTTTTTCTTTTCTTCAGGAAATCCAAATTCTCCATCTATGGGAAAAAACTTTGAACATACGGTTTACCTCTAGTCATGCAGAATTTCTCACAGAAATTTTTTGCGTCATTGTCTTTATCTTGACAGCTTTGTACTGGTTTGGATTCCTCTCCATATCTCTGGGATCTTTTTATTCTTGATTTTTTTCCTAGATTATTTACTTTATCCTTGCAAGGGTCCTTTATTCTCTCTAGGTTAGCATTATCAGTACATGGCATAGGAGGCCATATGATATTTCCTTAATGAACTTATCATTTATGAAACCTTTATGAAGACTAAGGATCTCTTACTTGAACTGACAAGTTGAGTCCCCCAGAGCAAGCCTCCATCTCTTCCTCAGGGACCTGGGGGATGGGGGAGAAAGACAACCTGAGGGAGTGTCTTTCTCTAATGCTATAGCCTAAGACCTCCACTCCATTGTGGTCTGCGCAATGTCAGTCACTGCTGACTAGTGTCCAAATATCATTTAACCAATTAACATCACTTAGATTTTACAAAGAAATATTTACTGAAAAGATAAAAATAACATAAGTACAAACATTTTCCTCTAACACCCAGAGACATACTCTTTCCTTTACCTAGAGGAGAGGAGGCTCATATATAAAACAGTTTCTACATAGCATTCACCCCAGGGATTTCACTTTCAAATGTAATATAACCGATGGAAGAGTCATCATCATTCTCTTGGCTGCTTTCAATCCAATGCTCTACTGAATTAATCAGGTCTCTTAGGACTCTACTCCTTACTGGGTTCAGTTGTCTGAAAATTTTGTCATGGACTCCAGCTCACAGACCTCTGGTGGTTTGACCTCTCAGCCCTTCAAACTTCACAAGGTAACATCCTAGTTGGATACATCTTCACCTAAGAGCAAGATTCAAGGAAGCAAAGAACAGAGAACTATATTCACAGTTAAATATAGGCCCTTTCCCACACTTAAATGTAGATTAAAACCCCAGGTCTCTCCCTCCCCTTCACCTGCCAAAGATTTACAGCATATCTTCTCTCAATTGTAGCCAAGGAGAAAGAGAGAGAGAAGTTTGCTATGGTCAGTTAGTACTTTTCAAATGCTCACCTTTTTCTGGATCAGCAGTGAATCAAAAGTTCATTTCTTCACATGGTTAGCCAACTTTAACTGTGCATGCTCTGAGGCCAATGTGAAGGTTTAATCAGCCAAATAGCTGCTCACGTTCATAAAGCCTGGGTTTGTCTAGTCCCTTGATATACCTGTATGTGACATCCCATCTCCTACTTCCATGTCTCCCGTGTCCAAAATATTCTCCCTCATCGTTTACACCCCTGGGAAACCATAACTTTTTTCAATACATAGCTCAGGTGCCATTTACTACTTAAGGACCTTCCTGATTCCCCCAGTTGTTAGTGCTTTTTTCACCTATATTACTTTGCATATATTTTTTCTGTGTATCTATCACCTATTTAGCTTGCAGAAGAATATAAACCTTTTAAGGACAGGGACTGTTTTGTTTTCATCTTTGAAACCCCAACACCTAGCGCCACCTCTTATACATAGTAGGTAATTGGCAAAAACTTGTGGAATTGAATCAAACTACTTTTTTTACCAGCAATATATGGAAAGTGAAAATTTTGCCAGTATTTTGCAATAATTTGCAAATTTTGCAATAGGGACATTGACGCCACCCAGGATAAGGCAAGGACAAATCTGGTCAGACTGTTCTTCAGTGAGCCATATGCATCCTTAAAATCCATTTGCCCTCTGATAAATAGATGGATTTTATTTTATCTTTACCCCACCAGGTACTATGAAACACGAAATTTTTTATACCAGATGACTTTATTTCATAATTTCCTTTGTTCTGTTTTAGCTGTGGTCTACTTTCTTTAGCCCAGAATTGGTGCGACCAACTCTGGAGAAGACTCTCAACAGTCTTCAGATAGATAATATTGATCTTTACATCATCGAGATACCAATGGCTCTCAAGGTAAATGGAAATCCCTAAAGGCCACCTGGTCTGCCCACAGTATAGAAACTCTAACATATATAGGATAAATTCAGTATTTTTAAGGAACCCTAACCTTCTTTCATACCATTCCTCCTCATTCCTCCCCCTTCCTAAATCTACTATTTATCCTCATTGTGACCTCCAATCCCTCTATCCCTCAGAACTTTTCTCAGGCCATTGTTCCTGCTCTGACTTAACTGTCTTCCTTTCTCAATCTTATTAGCCAATTCAACTGTACACTGTCCTCTATTCTTGAATTCCTCACCCCATCCCACCTCCATCTTCTCAGCCCTCATCCCTTGCCAAAACCCAGTCCTACATCACTCCCACGATCTGTCTCTTCCCCTCTTATTTACGGGCTGCTGAATAGAGTTGAAGGAAGTCACACAACTGGGATGACTGGAGGCTCTCTAAATTCATGGTATCTAACCTCAGTTGGGCTCCTTTCTTCTTATTCTTTCCTATTCTTTCTTATCTCGTTCCACACAGAACCTATTCCAGCACTTCTCTCCTAAAACCAAACCTGTCCCCCTGCCCTCTCCAAAGAATATCCTCTTACCTCACTGAGAAGATTGAGGCCATTTGCTCTCTCCTTTCCTCCTTTCTTCATCTCCAAACCCTATCAACCTCATCTTTTAAGCTCTGCTCTCTTCCTCCAATCTTTGATGAGGTAGCTTTTCTCTTGAAAAAAAGCCAACACCTCTATGTGAGCCCTTCCCATCCTCTCTAATCGATGGACCCCTCAGTCATCTCCCCTTTCCCTAATCTTCAGTATCCCTCATACACTTTTTCTTTCATTATTGCCTTCAAATATGCCCAAGTCTTCCACGCCATTAAAAAAAAAAACTTTCCCTAGACCCTAATATCATCTCAAGCTATCATATTCTTTTTCTCTCTCAGACTGCTAGAGAAAAGTTATTGATCTACATAGCCTTCACTTATTTTTCCCAAGTTCACTTCTGAGCCCTCTGCAATCTGGCTTCCAACCACATCATTCAACTGAAATTGCTTTCTTCAAAGAGATCTATTTTCTCTTCATGGAAAAATCTGATATTCTTTCTCAGACCTTATCTTTCTTGAGCTTTCTGCCTTATTTGACACTATTAATCATGGATATTTGACACTGAAGTTTTCTGATAATGCTGTCTTCTGGTGCTGTTCTTACCTGTCTCACCACTTTTTCTCTGTCTGCTTTGCTAACTTATTCTATATATCATGTCCCCAAACTGTGGATGTTCTCCAAGGTTCTGTCCTGGCCCTCTTCTCTTCATTTTCTATACTCTTTCTCAGTGCTCATCAGCAACCATGGGTTTAATTATCATAATTATGCAGATGATTCACAAATATGTATTTTTATTTGTATTTATATCTATATGTACACATATATCACATGTATATGTATGTGTGTATGGATCAATGGATAGATAGATAGACAGATAGAAAAATAGATAGATATCACATCCCAATCTCTCTCCTGAGCTTTATTCCTGTGTCATTTTGTAAACTGGATGCTAGAGAGACATCTCAAACTCAACATGTTCAAAACAAAATTCATTATCTTTTCCCAAAAACTTACCCCTCTATCAAATTTCCCCATAGAATAGACACCACAATCCCTCTACTCTCTCAGGTTTCAGTGCGGTCTTCCCTCACCCTTACTCCGTATCCAATCAGTTGCCAAATCTTGACGTTTCAACCTCCACAATTTTGCTTGCACCTGATCCATTCTCTCATGGCCGCTCTCTTATTTTAGGTCCTCACCACCTCCCACCTAGATCATGGCAATGACCTCCTAATTAGTCTCTCTGCTTCCCTCTTCCTCATTCCAATCCATCCTATATACATACGCCAAAGTCATTTTCCTGAAGCACAAATCTGACCATAAGAATCCAATGGATTCTTATTTCCTCTAGGATAAAACATAAATCTCTCAATTGATTTTTAAACCTTTTGGGGTTAATTGACTTGCCCAGAGTCACATTGAGTGTTATGTGTCTGAGGCTGGATTTGAACTCAAGTCTTCCTGACTCCAGGGCTAGTGCTCTATCCACTACGCCACCTAGCTGCCCTTTAATGACATGGCCCTTTTCTACCTTTCTAGCCTCTTTATATACTTTTCTCCTTTCTGAATTCCATCAGCTAGACTTTAGCCAAATTGAGCATGCATTTCTTCTTCAGACATGGCACTCCACCTCCTCTTTCTGTGCCTTTGCATTAGGCGTACCTCCTGTCTAAACTGCAATCCTTCCCCACCTCCACATCAGGGAATCTCTCCCTCTCTTCTTTCAGGATGCATCGCAGGCACCACCTTTTACATGAAGCATTTCCTAATCACCCCAACTGCTAGTGTTCCTTTCCCTATGCCTTGTACTTATTCTGAATGTACTTATACAAATTATTTCTCCCACAGAATGTAGCTACCTTAAGAGTAGGGATGGTTTGATTATTTTTTCTCTGTGTCCCCAATGCCTCATATTCCTAGAATGTAGTAGGTGCTTAATAAGCATTTCTTTGTTGATTGACCCTACAGTGAAACCCATAGTAAGATTTACATTTTGTATGTTAATAATTAATATCCTTTATAAGTTTTTGTTTCATTGGGAATTTGTTTTTCATACTGAATTTAACCTAAAGCGGGAATCTTCTACATGATCAAAGTTAAGGGGGGGGGGGGATTTTGACCTTGTCATTTCCTAGAATGAAGAATTGAAAAATTTTAGTACTAATTGATTTTTTATTTTTGGCATAGAATTTAGAATTATGGATTCTAAATGAGGGCTGTAGTTATTCAAAAGAATTTGATCAATATACCCAAGAAAAAACAAATGGATGAAGAATACCTATTGTCCTGATTAAGATATACACTTGTACGGACAATCGAAAGAGCTGATCCATAAGTAGACCAAGCAAGTGGACAATAGACTGAGTGCAGGATAGAATAGGAAGAAAAGAACAGACTTGGTTGCATTTCATTAATTGCCATGTTTTTATTGACCTTTACACAATACTATTCAAAAGTCTCATTGCGACATACAGGTGACCTTGGATTCCTACAGGTCTTCAAAGCACAAATTCTGACATATTCTACTTTGTTGGAATGGTTTTGACTACATTCAAAGGAATAGTCTACATCAACTGTCTGAGGCCCAGCCTTGTTAATTATAGAGAGGCTCTTGTTAATGACCTCAACTTTTTCCCTAGATCAATGACTTTTTTAATACCAAGATTCTTCTAGAACTATTGTATGGCTCCAAGTTATAGAACACTACAGTCTCTAAAAAGTTTAATTTGGAGATCATGTAAAAGGCAATAGAGAGGTGTGTGGTGGGAGTGAGCGATCTATAATACTTTATAAATAACAATTATATGGGAGAAATAATGTAATAAAGGTCATCAGAGAAATGTATAATAAAGAAAAAGATGATGGGGAACATCACTTAATAAGAGCAAGTTATAATCAGTGTATAGCAGAAATGCTCCACTGGAATCATTGTGATGTCAAGAGAATAAGAGGAAAACCCTCAACATGTTAAGTGGTCCTTTTAGGGTGAGCTCATGGGAGGATATGATGAGAGTTTCACAGGATGGATAGACATGGATGGGTTTCTATCTTTACTGTAGTTAAGAATAACTACACTTATGAACCCATAAATCTATCAAAGAGTTGGATAGATCAATTCTCAATGTATCTTAAGATACCTCCCCTTTGAAAGAAAGCTCCCCCCAAGGACTTGGTGGTTATGTCACCAAGCTTGGGATACTGAGAGGAGACTTAAAGAGCCAAATAGAGGGGAGCCATGGCCTTTTCTGCACAAAGACCACAGCTCAGACCTAGAGAACAATGAACACAGTTCTCCCCCAAATCACGCCACCTTAGAAAAAGTGAAAATTTACAGGCCTCACCCCATCCCAAGCTAGTTCTAAAAACATGAAGAAACCTGAAGCTTGGGACAGTGCCTCTCTACCTTCAGGTGAGCAGAGCCCAACTTTACGATAAAGTTTAAAGTCAAGAAATAGGCTGGAAAAAAATGTGCAAACCTGACCATAAAAAGCTACTATGGTGACAGGAAAGATCAAGACACAAACTTAGAGGAATATAACAACATGAAAACATACATAAGCAAAGCCTCAAAGAAAAATGCAAATTGGGCTTTTACAGTAAAGGAGAAAATGGGGGGAGGTGAGGGACAATGCTTAAACTTCACTCTCATCAGAATTTGTTCAAAGAGGGAAGAGAGTGTGTATATTCCTTTCAATTCTATAGTTATGAGTAAAGATATATAGATATAGATTCTATCTTTATGTAGGTATATAGAGATATGAATATAAAAATATATAATGTATATATAGAATTAGTCCCCCCCCACCTTGTGTGTGACTGCATCCAGTAAATCACGCTAATGTGAGTGGCCTCTAAAATGCATCAGGGAAGAGAGGAAATCAGAATTTTCTTTATGCATTGGGGCACCAGAGGTCATAAAAGTCTAATTATACAAATGCACACAAGTGCACCAAATCCCTAGATTAATATCAAGTGCTGCTAGGCACAAAAGGGTCGGGGAACAGAAGTAGTCAAATCTCTGAGGATCATAAAGAATTTGGCATTCCGAAGGACATAGTCTGGAGTGGGGTGCAGCTCAAATCTATCAGACCCGTCCTTGTTCCACATTAATAAATATAAGGTGTTTGGTAGGAATAGTCTCCAGGTGAACAAACAAACAAAAGAGGCAAACAAAAGAAGCAAAGAAAAAAACATCAATAAACTAGCAACCCATATGCCTACTTTTCCATCCGCACAACATTTTTTAAAGTAATCTCACCTGTGCTCAGAGTACACGCTTGATGAAGGTATATGAAAAAAATAGGCAGGCTTTTGCAAATGGTATTCACTGAGGCCATAACTTTATGGTCATACAGTTCACTGATACATATGGAGAATATAAGATCCCACTGTACTGATTGTTTGTTAACTACATAGA